TCCTTCGTGCTTGTTCGAATGACCTGGCGGGGTCCATGATGTTTGGCGTCGAGGGGGATCGCATTGGATGGTTCAAGGTGGTATCGTGAAGTTGCATACGCAGCGCTGGTATCAGAGCCGAGATCGCTCGGAATGACGGTCGTAGCTAAGCCGAGACTCCTGTCTTATCCGATGTGGGTTATCTTTTCGTTGGTAGGAACCTCAGTCCACAATGCCATCTCTTCTGTAAGCTGAGTCTCCACACTGTCACCCGTACTGCATAGCGCTACTGCACCTCGCTTCGAGGGTATACTGCGGGTCAACTGTAACAGGCATTTGGGCGTGTCGCGTACCCCATCTTACTTACGAAAAGTCTTGTAGAAGTCGCGCATGGCGACGCCCTGTAGTCCTTATCGCGGCCGAATGCATAGCATTTTTGTTAGGCCAACGGCAAACGGTCCGTCGCAACGACAACTTCCGACGATCATAGCCACGCCCTACGACGATAAGACTTGGTGACCAACGGGAATGCGAAAGAAGGTGTAAGCTTGTGTAGTACTGCCCGCTGTGGTCGTGCATGTAGATCCGTATATGAGCAGGGCATCTTTCCCTTCATCTCACACTCCTCATCACATCCATCTCTTCTTTACACCACGATGAAGGGTCTTTTCACAGCCTCTTCGGCTGCCCTATCTTTGGCTGGTGGTGCTATTGCCAGCCCAGTTGCTCCTCGATCGGAGGTTGTCTTCTTTAAGCCTCTGGCTGTCACATCCAACTCGGTACACAACGTCCATGTCGGCTACGGAGACGATGACTTCGAGGGCGAGATTCGTCTGGTGTATGGCGAATGCGGCATGAAGAGCCACGCCGACGGTCACCACGACGTGGCATCCCACTACATCAAGCGATCAAGTCGTCCCGAGCGATTCGTCTGGATCGTACCAGATGATGCTGTCCACGGCGGATGCCTTCACGCCTACTCAGGATCCAACTTGATTGGCAGCTCAGCGCCCATCTCGATCCAACATCCACCAAGGAAACGAGAGGAGATCTCCGACGTGGCTGATGCCATGGGTCCTTGGTTCGACGGTGTAGCCTACATGGAGGCGAAGCAAAACAACGCATCGTACGCCGCAGTCGAGAAGAGCAAAAAGATCGCCATTGTTGGTGGAGGCATGTCGGGGTTGATGACAAGTCTTCTCCTCGACTCCGTAGGCATCCACGATTGGCATATCCATGAGTCCTCGCAGCGTATTGGCGGCCGTATCAGGACGAAGTACCTAGCAGGCAGCACACCCGAGCAATACCAGTACCAAGAGATGGGGCCTATGCGATTCCCCGTCTCGATCACCTACCCGGACCAGAACGAAACACTGGAAATCAATGACCACAAGATGGTCTTCCAGCTCGGAGACGTCTTGAACCAGATGAACGGAGGCAACACCAGCGATCTTGCTGTCAATTTCATCAACTGGATCCAATCAAGCCCAAACCTGCCCGCTAACTCAAATGGGTACCGTCTGCCAAACGGCCGGATCCCTAGCGCAGCGCAGATCAAGAGCAACGCAACAGCCTACACATTGCCAGCAGCTGAGGGCCCAGATGAGGAGGCCGTGGAGAAGGCGGAGGAGGCATACGAAGAATTCGTTGGATACACACCGGAAGTTGAGCGTGAGATCGCCACCAATGTCTTCAAGGCTCACAAGAATGCCGTCGACAAGGGTCTCTTCCATTGGTCCGAGGCTGCGTACATCAAGTACGCACTGAACGCCAGCGATGATGTTGTGGACTACATCACCGGCAACGCCGACGCTCCGATCTGGGAATACGACACTGTATACTTCAAAGCCACGGATTGGCGAACCATTGACAAGGGTCTGGAGTCATTGCCGCGTGCATTCTACCCCCACGTCCAGGACCGTTTGACTCTAGGGCGCAAGGTAACCGGTCTGAAGCACGATGAGAGCACCGGAAAGATCGCTGTCCAATGGCGCCAAGATCCTTTCGCCATGGAACCGGAAAGTGAGGAATACGACTACGCAGTCGTTGCGGTGCCTTTCTCCAAGGTCAGGCTCTGGGATCTTCCCCAGTACTCCTCGCTTCTGTCGCGCGCCATCAGCGAGATGAACTACCAGCAGTCCTGCAAGGTCTCTCTGCACTACAAGACTCGTTTCTGGGAACACCTCCCGGAGCCCATCATCGGTGGCTGCGGCTCAGTCGACATCGCAGGTATCGGCAGCGTTTGCTACCCCGCGTACAAGGTCAACTCAACTGGGCCCGGTGTCATCCTCGGATCGTACATCTCTGGTACCCTTGCGCGCTCAGTGGGTGCGCTCAGCGAAGAAGACCACGTAGCGATGGTCCAGCGGGCGATGGTGGAGATTCATGGCGATGTGGCTTCCGAGCAGTGGACTGGTGCATACGAGCGGCAGTGCTGGGAGACCGACGAGCACCAAGCTGGTGCTTGGGCTTCCCCATTCGTTGGCCAACAAGACCTGTTCCTGCCCGCCTACTACAAGACCGAAGCCCAAACCATCTTCATCGGTGAGCACACCAGCTACACACACGCCTGGATCTTCTCAGCACTTGACTCCGCCGTGCGCGGCACTTCGCAACTGCTGCTGGACATGGGTCTGGTCGACGAGGCGAAGCAAATCGTGGATACCTGGATGGGAAGGTGGATCTCCATCTAGATGCATCAATAGAAGAAAGTAAAAGCTAGATAAACAGCATAACAATGAATAATGTCTGATCAATGCGACAATGAACTGCAATAGTGGTGAAGTAAGGTGGTGAGAATTATTGAAAGACGCGTAGTGCAGGCGCGATGGGGTGCGACTCCCCTGCGATGGCGTCATCGCCCCTGAAAGTTTGAGACCGAGGCTTTCACATGCACGTCTCCAGCCATCCATCAACATCCTCGCAGAGCTCTCTTTGGGCCCCCATCAACGAGTTGACAACAATCGCGCATGGAGCCGTCCTGCGTCGGCAGAGAATGCGATCGCCTAGCCAAATACCACGTCGTTCTTGACGGCTGCCCATAATGCCGATCATGGGAGTATCCTTGGCAAAGACTGTTCACGTGATCACGCGTTAAGTCACACCCAAACACGATTACTGGCTGCATCCGGGCAACTCGAACACGGCGGCTGATGTTGCAACACTCACGAATTCGAGCCGGTATTGCTCAATGTGTTGCACGCCCAAGCTGAGCGATCGCAACGACATTGCCATCTTACCTATCCAAAAAGGATCCTGAACAGGTGCGCTGCCATCTACCTCAGTGTGCAAGAAAAGGAGCAGCCAAAGCCCAAGGTGATATAGGCTCCTAAGAGGGTCATACGTCTCTTGTTGTATAGCGTGATGCTACCACGAAACCCGATCGATGAACCAACTCGTCATTTCCGAAGTTGCACCGCACCCCGGTAGGAGTCTGAATATGTATATGTTACGGAGTTCACCTTGCGCGCAACTCGATTTGCTCAAACCACAGCATTTCTAGACCATGGCGACACCTCATCTAGAGAATCCAGTACCGTCGGCTGGGGCGCTCAAGCGAGTTCGTGGTATGCTTGACGAGTAAGGCAAACCCTATTTGAGATACAGCTTTCCTTGCTGATGATTCCAAGAGACTGGGCCAAACTAGCGCCCTCTACAAAGAGGATCAAGACTTTACTCCACGATAAAGGACGAGCACCCCTTATTGTCAAAGCACTATCGCTCGGAAAGGCTCGCCTTGCTTCCACTCCTTACGCCTACGATATACACATCGCCTGGGAAGTCTGGAAGAGCTACGCGGAGTCTCTTTCTCCCAAAATCTATCTTGAGGGACTGAAGAGGAAACGCATCTTTTCCAAGTCCAACTACAACAGAGAAGTCCGTCGTTCTATAAGTCACGGACTTCTCGAGAAGATTACAGCGCGAGAGATTCGGGACCAGATTTATGGATATCTTGTTGTACCGAGTACCGTTAGGCTCGTTGGGATCTTAGATCACGACCACCTTCACTACAACGACTATGGCCAAGGTTGTACATACGTTGGTCAACGCGGAAGAGCCTGTTCGTCTATACAGAGACGCGAACGTTGGACGTTCGATCTGCAATGTCCGCGATTGGATCTATCAGACATCTGGCTGTGCGAGCGTGTCGGCCACAAGTTCTTGGTTGAACTAGTGGAGCACTGGTACAGAGTCAATACCTTCGCCATCTGGGAACCCGATGACTTATCCCTCGTCGTCGATCTCGCTACCCAAGATCGCTGGCAGCTGGGCATTGTGCCACGCGACCATATCAGGAATGTTCAATTTAAGATGTCCATGGCTTTCGTCGCGCGAGATCGCCATGGTGTACCGCCATGGCAACTGCCACTGCTGCGCCACCGAATGGAACAGTTACTGCAGTTCAAGCAAGGTACCAGGATTAGGCTCGGGATTCTCAGCTACAAAACAACTAGAAGCAGGTCCCGCCGGAGCGCATTTTCACATGGCATCATGGAGGTGGCCTTATGGGCACGAGATAAACGCATTCTTTGGGAGCGCGGCGTGACCGAGAAACTGGAGTTTGTTAAGGATCTTGAGAGCGGACTCTTCGATACATTCAAGAAGCTATGTGCAGCTGGGCTCCGTTTGGTGTTCAAGGTGGATGATGGTTTGGAGTTCTCCGTCAATAACGAGGAACAGATCACTTATGATTTGTGGGTGGAGAAGATACTGGCTTATCAACCGGCGAGGAGACAGCGCCACTACAACTCCGATTGGAGAATACAAACGGACTAATCTGTACCTAAGAAACTTGATAACCACGTCCGGAGCGTCTCGGGGTCTTTCGATCTTCTCCGCCGCACCCTTGCATCGCCATGTCGTCTCCAGCACAAGCTATGACCTTGCCATTCTTCCTTTTTCATCACCCTGTCGTCTCTAACGCAGGCTATAACCTTGGAATTCTTAATCTATCATGAACCTGAAGTCTCCAACGCAGACCCATAAAACTCGTCAGACGAACCAGAATCATCACTAGCCGCTCATTCACGGAGGGCGCGTTTCGCAAGCATGACCTGGGACGAGTTTAGCGAGTGTCTATCAGCACACCAAGGAAGGGACTTACTTTGTCATGATCCTCGAGTTTCTCCTTCCAACACTCCTCCGTCAGCTCCTCGCTCACAACTTTGAACTTCAAGTGGTAGCCCAGCTTCACCGTGACACGATATTCGGCTGTAATCAACTTCTGAATGCCCGGGAATAGGAGTGCGAGATCCCGAGGCTGGATTGCTGCGCTGGAATCTGCCATTGCCCTTCTCACTGCATCTGTCGGTATAGCTTGGAAGCTGAGCAGAATGTTGGCACCAGTCTTGAGAGTGTGAAGCTCGGCCAAGTCTTTGGCTAGTTTGACGCAATCTCCAGATGAGTTGACAGGGGTGAATAGCTATCAAGCTGTTAGTATAGATAACAAGATGTCTTCGAATTGCCTTAGCTAAAGCGTAGCAAGGAGAACACATCTTCTTGTTTGCGCGCTTGTCTCGTGATGATCCGATTGCAAGGAGAACACATACTAGTAAAAAGTTAGCAAAATAGCTCAAGAGCTATCCGTGGCGGCTACTTTACCCTCAATACTCCGGATTAGCTTCTGCGTATCGAGGCCGAAGCCATGGAAGTCGGTTCTAAGAAATAGTTCGACGTGGAGGGCGTGCATGAAGCGAAACGTGGAGAGCCTGTACCATGCATGAGCTAGCTCCAGCATCGTGTCCTTGAGTATCGCCCTCGCTTCAAGTAAGTGGCCGTAGCCATTGCGTGTGAGTGACGTCTGGAAGTGCTTGGAACGACTTGCGCTCGTGTGACCGGGAATGGCGAATGCTGGTGAGGCAGACGCCACTAGGTCATGATGATTGATACTGATCGCCATCTGATCACGGAGGATATAGCCGTATACCTCATCGCGAAGTTCTCGGGCGAACTTCGTCTGAAATAGTTCCAGAATGATTTGATGACGGTGCGTTATGAAGTCCTTCAAGTACTGCTGGAGAACGTCCTCGAGCTGGTCTAGCTTTGTTGTGATTTTGGCCAGCTTTTGCTTGAGATTTTGGAATCGTTGTCGGGTCTTTGCTGTAAGATTACTACGCCTTTGATGAGGCCTTGTGCGATTGAGCTTAGCTCGGTCGGGTGCTTCGATGTGCTTCAGGATACGGATATGCCCGAGGGTACTGGGACCATTAGCAGCTGCCCAGATGCTAGCTTCGTGGATCCCAGATGGAACTTACTGGGAAACGTATTCATGGTCGAGAAAGAATCCTACAGCGGGCGGAGTGCGCACCTCCATGGCGATGGCTGGATAACAAGTGAGTCGTGAAGGTGATTGAAGAAAGGTCGGGGCGGGTAGTTCAGACTGTAGGGACCGACGGGTGGGTGCTCTCCTCAGCGCGGCGTTGCGATCAGTCATCCAAAGTGCACGTGAAGGGAAAGATCACACGGACCAGATACTCATCCTGCGGAGTGAAATATGTGGATTACAGGTCAGTCACGCTAACCTAGAAAAAGCCCAAACAGCCTAGAGCCTACGTTAACGTTAGGCTATCTACTTTGCAAGGTTTTAGCTTAATGTAGCCTGCAGACCTGATTCAACCCAACCAAATCTCTTAGAACTTCAACCCCACCATCTAAGCCCCCCAAAAGCGAAAGCAACATGGCTCACACAGTCGATTTGACTCGTGAAAACGTGTACATGTAAGTCATCTCAAAAGCCTCAAACAAGAATCTGAACAGGCGAGCTGCAGTATACATGGGGACAAAAATGAAAGTCGCGATAACCCTGAAGGCAATGTAGACACCTGGGTCATTAATGGAGTGGTTGTTCAGTACTAATATGAGGACCAGCACACTCAGATATTGCGCACTTATCGACCATGTTCTGGACAAGAACAGTCCACTACTCACGGCGTCCCAAATCGCAAGTCTGGATCGTACGCTGTCAGAATACGAAGACTTCGCCGATGCTCATGTCGAACACTACGCCCAGCAGTCTTGTCGGGCATTGTGTACCGCCATGCAACATAAGCTTCCCCGCGAGCTCCGGGACATGATATACGACCACATCCTCTCCCCTGCTCGAGATGAGTCTCTCTCCATCAACGACGATGACCTCGATGACGTCGACAAGCCATACCGGGATATTATTGCGGGTTTCGCCGAGGAACGCGGATACGGATACGCGCATATGTGTAGCGAGAAATTTGTTGATCTGGACACTATGAGCGAGTTTGCACGTCGCTGGTATTATCATACCAAATTGTGGCTGTTCCTCACACCTGCGGAGGTCGCCGAGTTCTTCGAAACTGACATCTGGGGTCTCGGTCTGGAAAGCGATCGTCTATTGCGCCATCTCGAAGTCGAAGTGTGCGAACAAGAAGACGAAGACAACGTCACTCCGCTCCAGCAGTGTCTCTTCAAGCTCGCGCCTGGCGCATCGATCGTTTTCCACCTGCGAGTAGATTACATTTATGGCCCAGGTGCATACTCGTATGACGAGGAATTCAACATGTTCCTGCTCTCGGAACGCATAAGCGCGCTATTTCCTCTGATGCTGCAGCTGATCGAGGCTGGCTATGAGTTGTATGGGGCGCTGGATGGGTATGAAGACTTTCGCGTCACTCCCGCCACCCTGGACCGAGACGTTTGGAAAGACACGCTGATGGCGCATTGCGAAGGTCGCGATTGTAGGTCAGTCCTGCTGGTGTTAGAAAGCTTTACTGATCAAGAACAGGGGCGTGATCGGCACGTGACTGCAGGTGGCCATAATGCGACCGGGAGTGAACATCCTCACAGCGTATTACAAGTGAGTAGGTAAGCGCGATTGAACAGGCGTATGCTAGATGTAGCGTGCAATCAACTACTTGTTCTCATAATCTCAACGGTGTACGCGTATGTATGCACCTTCCTCACATGAGTGCCGCCATTTGAAAAAGGCAGTCGCGGTGACTACCTCCTCGCTTCTGCATCGCGGCATCCATTCGCGCATGCCATATGTTCCAGGTTCAGCACGGAGAATGGAGGTGAAGTCGTCGCGTTGTCGCATGGTGGTTGGGTGGTGTCGGCGTATAGGGCGCGAGGGGTCGCGAATATCTCCGAACACAGGACCTGTTGACTCGAAAGGTATATTGGGAAGCTGCTCGCCAACATCTGCAACCACACACTCTAAATCATCAATCCAAGCACAAGATGGACTCAAAAACCTTCCAATGGGAGCGCACTGTCGCTTCGGGCACCTACCTCATATCCTCCGACCGGTCGCTCCTTCCGTACACCTTCGTCCAGGAAGCCTACGCGACGGACGCAATGTTTTGGGCGAAACCGCTCTCTTTCACGGACCTGTCGACCATGCTTGACAACAGTCTCACCCTCGGTGTATACTCTGTTTCGGACGGCATCAAGAAGCCTATTGGGATGGCGCGCTTCATTACCGACTACACGACGCTCGCCTACCTCACAGACGTCTACCTCGTCCCCGAACACCAGGGCCAAGGACTCGGCAAATGGCTCATCGCATGCTGTCGCGAGATCTGCGCCGGAATGGAAAACCTCCGGTGGATGGTCCTCTTGACCGGCGGCGAGCAAGCGCAAGCGCTCTACAGGAAGGAATTGGGCATGACAAAGCTTGACGGGGTGGAGGAGGGGCTGGTTTGTATGGGGGCTCGGCGGGCAAAACTCACCGAAGCAGCGGGCGCTCCGCCCTCAGCATAGCGGGACCTAGCGGTTTGCCGTGTACGCACGTATGCAGTTCCCTACCTTAAACATGGACGACTATTCCTCGCGATCAGACGCTACAGTGACAGAAACGTGGTTTGATGGTTGGTCTCGACTGATGACAACGGCTATCTTTGCTTCCGGCCTAGTCGCGGGCCCATGCTGCATGCATGTCATCTCTAGCGTAGATATCGCCATCCATTTTTCTTTATCACCATAGACTACTGGTCTGGCTCGCGCCCTCGGCCTTCTGGTATGTTCCGAGTAAGCGGACGAGGCCTGAAGCCTGTTTCGAGCCGGCATGCGACGAATTGTCATCATGGAGGGGCTATCAGGCCCTCCAGGGCTTGTTGCAACTCCGTCTGGTGGTTGTGTCGCGTCGCGCTGCTACATCGATAAGTGTATTACGCCTACTAAACTGGGATCCGCCTCCGATGCTGCCCGAGGAAGACTAATCTAGATCGCGCATGTGTAGACCTGTCGCATAGATCGCCAGGGCCTTGTTGATATACAGCAGCAGTTGACCCTGCGTTCACGTCACGTCCGCCGATCTTCCACATTTCACACCAACATGACCGCGACATTTGAGACCTCTCCACTATCACGCACATCGTCCCCGCCAGCATCACTGAAGAGAAAACGAGCGGGCTCTGATACCCAACCTCTTACCCCGCCGTTAGCCGCAAGCGACTCTGAAGGATCGCGTCTGCTCTCGCGCGCCGTCCACGTTCTTTCGACTGCTGCCACCGCGCTCTCGCAGGTCACTTTTCTCTACGAGTCCGACCATGTGGCGCGCGATGGTCTCCTCCAGGCTGTCGAAGTCATCACAAAGACCAGCCAGACTGGCGGTAAACTCATAATATGCGGAGTGGGCAAGAGCGGACTGGTGGGGCGCAAGATGGTCGCGACGATGAAGAGTTTGGGCATAGCGAGCTCCTTCATGCATGCTGCTGAGGCACTGCACGGGGATCTCGGTGACATCAGGAAGGTAAGTTATATCCAAACCCTAGATGTTAAGGGCTGTACTGATATAAGTAGAACGACGCAATCATGTTCATTTCCTACTCTGGCAAGACAGCAGAGCTCATGGCTCTCCTCGAACACATACCCTCCCACACGCCCATCCTCGCCATCACATCGCATACGAAACCCTCAGACTGCCCGCTCCTCGACGACCGGCCCAACTCCATACTGCTGCCTGCGCCCATACATGAGTTGGAGGAGGTCTCGTTTGGGGTCTGCGCGCCGACGACTAGCACCACCGTCACCATTGCGGTGGGCGATATGTTGGCGTTGACTGTCGCCGAGGCGCTGCATCAAGATGAGACGAAAGCTGTGTTTAGGACGAATCACCCTGGCGGTGCGATCGGTGCGAAGTCGAGACGGATAGAGAAGGAGGATGATACCCAGGTGGAAGCGAAGGATTGCGATGGGCTGGTTACGCCGCCGGCTACCTGATCGTGCTCAGGAAGATACCAGAGGTGCGATAGGTGAGGACACTGGAAACGTGTAGATCGTGTAGATCATGTACATGCGCAAGGAACGGCCGTAACGAACCAGAGGGTTTTTGCCCCATGTTCTTCACCCACACAGCACAGTGATGTTGCGACCCCGCGCGAGCACTTACGCAAGGAAGGAACTAAACAGGTGCGCCGCAGTCTACATTGCCCACAGCAACAAAGGCCAAGAAGGTTCCCAGGATAACGGAGACATCTAGGTTACTTACCCTTCTTATCGTCACCAGGGTCGTAGTGGGTGTCCGGCTCTTTCCTTCGAAACGGTGCAGGGTAGTGGGTGGTACCTTCCCGTTCTATGTGCAGCCTGCACTCACTTTAACCCCTCCACTCACTTTTCGTATGCGTCACCATACATGTTTCTCGTACACAGCCTCCATTACCGTGCATAGATTGGACGGCAGCGCTAATCGACGCGCTCACATTGGATGTCTGCATGGTTGCGGCACAGTTTCGCCATGGGCGGTACAATGAGGGGTTGTCTTGCGCGCCTTCCGTCTCCCATCTCAAGTATCTTCGAGTCTTGACACCCACTGTGTACTCTCAGCTCACCAGAGCTGTAGTCTTTTGTTCCGGAACTGGAGACTGGGTTGCTCCTTGATATTCCGTTCCAGCTCCGATTTTGGCCTCATACATGGAAACCTGGATCTTGCACACCATCCACCATGGAAGCCTTAACAGCGATTGGCTTGATTGCCAATATCGTCCAATTTGTCGACCTCGGCGCAAAGCTGATCGGTTCTGCGAAAGAGATACACGACTCTACTAGCGGCATGACGATGGAGAACAAGAGCCTGGAGGAAGTCACCATTGAGATGCGCGATCTAACTTGGAGGCTGAAGCTCCCAATAACGGACTCGAACAGCCAAGATCAACAAGCCCTCCGTCGGTTAGCTCAAGAGTGTCGTGAGCTGTCGGAGCAGATTCTCCACCTTTTGAAGAAAATCGCTCCTGGCAAGCCGAACTCAACGCTTGGCACTCTACGGTCAGCGATCAAAAACATCAAGTACAATGACGAAAAGAAGGAACTTGAAGAGAGGCTAGCACATTGCCGTAGCCAGCTGCACCTGCAGTTCAGCAAGTTGACCAGGTTAGTCAATGTCAAGACGTCGCTCTTGGGCACTTCCCTAATGTGAATAGTTCGGAAGTGCAAGCGCAACTTGAGGCTCTTACAACCCTTGCGCATTCGAGTCATGCTATGCTAGAAGTCATACCGCAACAGATCAAACAGCTCCGCCAAAGCATTTGTGTTGCTTCACTGAGTGTTGAGGCCCAAGATCAGATCAAAACCCTTCTCGGACTGACGAAATTGACTATAGAAGGAGACGCATCACGTGCGATTCTGAAATCTCTCGCCTTCGATGAGATGCACACCAGGGCTGAAACTATACAAGAAGAGCATTGCGACACATTTCGATGGATTGTGGACCCATGGGCCAGGGTGCATGACACTACTCTGGCAAGTAACGCACGTGAGCTATATATATCGTGGCTTTCTAAAGGCCGTGGTATATTTCACGTCGCTGGGAAGCTAGGATCCGGGAAGTCCACACTCATGAAATTTCTGTTCGATCATCCCGAGACACGGAAGCGATTGTTGGAGTGGGCAGGTTTGTGACCAGTCAAGATCGAGACGGTGGTAAGCTGACGACTTATAGGTGATGCAGAACTTGTAATGACCAACCACTTCTTCTGGAAACCTGGAAAGCAGCCGTTGCAGAAGTCGTTCAATGGGATGATGAGATCACTTCTTTTCGATATACTGAGTGCTCATCCTGCCCTGATCAAGATCGCGTTCCCACGTGACTGGGCACTCATAACGGAGGAGGACAGACTGATAGCGTTTCAAAGTCTGATGCCTCTACGGAAAACTCTCGATGCCTTGATAGCTCTCCTGAAGAACAAAGCCGTTCAGGAATCCTATCGATTCTGTTTCTTCATCGATGCCTTGGATGAGTTTGAGGACACCGCCCAGCACGATGATAGCTACCTGGTCGACGCACTTCGCTTCTGGGTCCAAACCTCACCGAATATCATTAAGCTATGCGTATCCAGTCGAGAACATAACGTGTTCGTGAACGCATTCGCCGATGGCCCAAGGATTCGGTTACAGGAACTGACTAGGCACGATATGGAGTGTTTCACGCGATCCAAGCTCGGATCTATACCCGAAGCCGCCACTCTGGAGCGTCTCACACAAGATATCGTCAATAGATCGGACGGCATTTTTCTCTGGGTGGTGCTCGTCATCAAGGAGCTCCGCCGAGCTTTGGAAGATGGCCGCGACACATCATCTTTCAAGGAGGAATTGGCGACGCTTCCTACTGAGTTGGAGGAACTGTTCGAGCATCTTCTTGGATCTATACAAAAATCACAGCGGAAGAAAGCGTATCAGATCTTTGCGATGGTACAGAAAGCTGAGACTTTACCAGGCGGACTATCATTGCTGTCTTGTCTATACCTGGACGAATATCAGGCAGGTGGCCAATTTGCAACGAAAGAACCTCCCGTATTGACCCAGCTGGACACTCAAAACGAGTTCGACCCACACACATGGTACAAAACGCAGACCCAAAAAGCTCGGAGGCTATTGCAAGCCTGTTGTAGAGGACTGGTCGAGGACCGGCCCACCCCTGAAGTCATAAATGAGAAATCCGTCTTGTGGGAGGGGGGTACTAAGCATAGAGAGAAGTACGAGGAGGATGAGAAGGATCGTGCGCGTAGGGAGAAGTACGGGGGGGTGGCGCTTAGGCCGAAGTCGTCATGGTACACAAGACCGGAAACTTATCCCAACCCCTCTAAGCCTGCCGGATCCAGATACGTTGTGTTCGTTCATCGAACTATCGTCGAATTCCTTGAACGTCCGGCGGTCGTTGAAACCACGGCTGAGCAACTAGTTGGATTTGATGTTATTGAAGCCATCTCCCAAATGCATTTGGCAGAGTATGAAGCCACACCTTGTTCTCTGATCGAGCCGCTATACTGGTCGTACCTGTACGGTAACCTCATGGAGCTACGGTTTCGCGCTGGGAAAGATAGGTCACACTTCGAGTTCCTTGTAGAATTGGAGTCTACAGTGTCACGAAAGTTCCCAGGCTGGCTAGAGAATAAGCTACCTCCATCCAAAGAATATATCCTACGCGTTGTTCATCAGGGTTTTGCTGCTGGTCTGGTCGCTCAACCAACAAGCTGCTACTCCGACTCCGAGGATTGGAAAAACCATGTTACTGTCCCCATTACTACCCCGGTTTCGTACTCGGCGTTCTTCGGCAACGCTTCATATATCCTCTGGCGGATTACAAGGCCTCACAAACCACCGCTATCGGACCAGCTAGTCGGTATCGTCCTACACTGTCTAAGTCAGAGTTTGTTAAAGGTCGAAAAAACTGAAGACTTAGAGAAAATCGTGAGCTGCTTTGAAAGACTCTTGAACGAAAGCGCGTCACCTGTCACACATTATTTGTGGCCCAGATTCCTTATGAATTGTTCGAGAATCAATCGTTATAGCGAGCCCTCGTGGTCTCGTACTATAGGTCAGCTCATCGTACTATTTCTGGAGCGCGACGAAGCAAAAGGTGTTCACACAACGGAAATCTTGATCGAGTCTAAACTTATATCTGAAGATTCTCCAAGGAAGCCAGTAGCTATGTGGGTCAACATACAAGATGACCACGTACTGATGACAAAGCTTCTTGCACCGCCGAAAGAGGGAAGTGCTGGTCACATTCTTGGGCAGAACAACAAAGGATACGTGTCATTGGGGGAGCTGGTCAAGCTATGGAATCTTGAAAACGAGGCAGAAATTCTTGGACTGATCGCACAGGCTCGTACCGCGTATCCACATATGACATCTCAATCGCTCCAAAGGATCGACAGCGCAATCGCGATTTGGAGACAAGAACATCCACTATCGTCATACTCATCCATCATAACCATCGCCAACATCCCTCCAACCCGATTACGGGCTGCAAAAGCTCGTTCCGGTCGTGCCATAGGCATCACGACAGTCATTACTCTGCTAGGTAAGAAGGTTGTGTTGAAAGGTCGTGGGCACGTCGCTGATATGAACGCTGGTAGGTCTGTCAGCTTTCCTGATCGCTCACCAAGACTATTGGGTTCGACAGTCTTCTATCATTGTCTATGAGCCCGCCCGCATCGCCACAGAAGCGTACCATCACGTCAATCTAGGAAAAGACTGAACACCCTAGGACCTGCACCGACGTTGGGTTATCTAGTTCGCCCGTTTTCATCTTAATTCAGTCCGCAGACCTCTTCAGTTATTTCTTGTTTGAGGTGTCAGGAAGATATTGACATGGTGCGCCGCCGTTATCAGAGCCTGTAACTTCGTTCCTAAGCGGTACTGAAATAAGCCCACGGACTTCTCAAGGATGGATCGCGTCTTGTATCCTATGAAGCCTATTACGTAGCCTCACGAAACACAAAACCGATTCAATGCTCAACTACCTAGTGAATGTCTTTCCTGTCGCTAAGACAGCTTCTATCCCCTTCCAGTACATAACCGTATCTTCTCCCCGGTCCTCCTTCATCCCCACCGTCAATTCACTATATACATTCCTCATTCACAGTGGCGCAGGTACATACATTCACACCACACATCGATCTAGCACTCTGCCGCATGTTCTTCGACACCACACGCCGGCCCATCATATCGTTCATCAACACCATGGTCTCACTCGCACTGTCTCGTCACGACTGGCGACGGATCGAAGTGTTTAAAAGAGTTCCCAGTCTGGCCCCTAGTTGACGGCATCACATCAACAGTTCGCACACACACACACACGACTACAGCTTGGAGACCACTACAGTCTTCATCCACCCATTCCAACAAACACACCAACCAAATCCTCATCTCTATAACCCAACATGCCCTTCGGATCCTTCTTCGGCGGAGACAACCCTTTTAGCTCCAGCCGCTCCTCCCGCCGTGACCCCTACTCATCCTCCAGCCGTGACCCCTATGGCGCATCGAGCTCCAGTAGAATGACCGAGCCCTTCTCCCAGCCCTACGGCGACTACACCAGCCAACCCCGTCGTGAAACAACTGGTAGTTCTAGACCCAGCCGCGCGGCATCCCAGCGCGACCCCTACGATAGCCGGTACCAGTACCGCGACCTCAGCCCAATGCGCGCTTCCGAGCGGCCCCGCGCATACACTAACAAGCACTCATACGACGACCATCGCTCCGTTAGTCCGCTCGGCTCCTCTCGTTTCGAGCAGCCGTCTACTACATCGCGTCTCCTCGCTAGCATGGGTAGGCCCAGCACTTCTTCTTCCTCGTCCCGCACTTCCTCATACGCCACACCGTCGTACGCATCTAGTTTCCGCGAGCCGCAACAGACTAGCTTTAGTATTGATCGCGGGTACGAGCGTCCCTCGACGTCTGGCGGTTACGGTGGTGGCGGTTTGTATCGTAGTAGTGCGGTGCGGGGGAGTGAGGGCCGCGAGGCGCCGCGAAGGATGGGTAGCGATGGTGAGTATGGAGCTCATCTAGGAACTCAGCGTCGGCCGCAGATGGGGAGTAACTTTAGCAATGGCGGGTTTGGCTGGATGAACTGGTAGGCTGTGATGAGCGGGAAGTGGGGATTGATGCGAAATCCTCGTAGAGCCTGGTCTTTCTTCCTTCTTTAGCTTTTCGTGTCTTGCTTAGAGGGTAGGTAAGTTGGCTTGTATAAGCTGCTTCGTACTTCATCGTATTATTGCTTTCGAGTTCTGTGATCAGATAGTCAGCTATATGCAGTCAAAGTATCATTAGTCAAACGTAAACCTCACATCTCAAATTCGTGCGTATCCTGTGAAGATGACCGTCCAACGCATCGCGGTATATTCTATACAACAAGCCCACTCAATCCCCTCTATATAAAAATGACCATGTCAACATTACTGCGTAAAACTCTTCATCATCTTCCTCTCCCTCCCTTCACTTTCACTCGCACTCCCACTAACGCCGCCAGCTGTCGTGGCATCCTCATCTCTATACCTGTCCTCCTGTCCATCCTCCGTAATGAGGTCATGAGGCAAATTGATCGCCCGATCAAGCGCATAAGGCAGACCACGATGTCTACCACGCAGCATCATGAAGCAAATCACCACTTTGCCAAACGTGTTGAAGTGGCCAGACAGCGATGTGAGATTCGACGGGTGACCAAGCGAAAGACCGACGTTACCGTATGCGGATACGACTTCAAAGAATATGGCGAAAACGTTGAAAGCCTGTCCATATCGTTAGTATGCCGTTCCCAACTAAGAAAACCCGCTTCGTGGATTCGATCAAGCTTACATAGTCCTCCTGACTCATAATCCTATCACTCTCCGCAATGCAAATCATGAAAACCCCCAGGAAGATATACCACAAATCGAAACTGAGTTGGTTCCGCATGTGGCTGATAAGATACGTCTTACCACCCTTCTGCTCATCGAGATTCTCGTCCCCGGCGTAGAGCCCCACGGATTTCTCCTCGTAGCTCTCGCTCATGCGTATGCTGATGGCGATGGGGTAGATGGAAATGTACATCATGACTAGCAGACTGAACTGGACGGCTGGGTTCACGGCGGCGAGGTTGAAAGTCGCGGTACCGGTGTGGCGCGAGGATGCGGATTGGAAGATAGCGGCGAGGATGCGGGGTCCTACTGGCAGGCTATTGACTTCGGGATTATCCAGATCTAGGACGATGATGAGGAGCGTGTCGATGAAGTTTAGGGCGAAGAGGATGGAGGCGAGGATCCAGGTGGCGGTGCTGGGGAAGAGGAGGGTGTAGCATCGGCGCGGGTGGTCGAGGAGGAAGCGCAGGGATTCTTTGAGGGAAGAAGCGGCGGGTGCGATTTTGTAGATGGACCAGATGAGCAGGCGTAGGAAGACGGGGTAGAATGTGTTGCCGGCGAAGGCGAGGAAGGACATTACTAGCATGGGCCAGGTGGCGTCGCGGAAGGTTACCATGCTGTCGGGTGTGAGGGTCAGGCCGAGGTTGTCGACCATGGTTTGGGCGGAGTAGAACGCCCTGGGACATGTTAGCATGGAGATCATGTGGTGTAAGAGGGGGTGGAGCGTACCACCACGTCTTGTCTTGACCCTGAGAGGCGAGGTAGTCTTGATACTTGGCTGGTGCGGTGTGAATCCATGGGAGTAAGCAAACGACTCCAAGCGTGTGTAGGCCGACGAAGTATCCTGGAATAATAGTCAGCATGAGCGAGCCAAATACATCGCTCTCGATACATACCAATAGTAACCTTGAGCAAGACTTGCAGTGCGCGGTACTCAACACCACCCAACTCTTCCCGGGTCATGGAGCTCAGGTCAATGGTGGGTGTCTTGCGTGCCGGCTTGTCTTCGCTACGACGGGCGCCGCTTGCGGTACTTCCAAGAACGAAGATGGAGGATACAGCGCGGTCTACGGAGGTAGCCTTGCTCATGGTACGCGTGTTCATACTTCTTGTCTCTGACCGCAGGCGACGCAGTGGGTTGCTTGACTCTGCGACGGGCTTGATGCGGTCTTCATCGTCGTCTTCGTCTTCGTCTTCCTCTGTAGCGATCATGTTATGCATATTCTCATGGAAGTCCAATCGGCAGGCTTACCATCCGACATCGAAGTGATGCGTTCGCCATTGTCGCGTTCTCGTGGACCAGGGACATACAAAGCGCCCTTTTCGTTGACATGAGGTCGAGGATCCGGGGCGAATGTGATGCGAGGAGCAGGAGCGGAAGGCTGGTCGTTTGACTCGTCTGCAGTGGCAACAGGCTGCTTTTCCGAGACTGTGGTCTCGCCGGTGAGACCCTCCTCGATCTTTCGTGTGTCGGCGGTATTGTCGATTGTTTGCGCCCGGCTCATAGACAGTTGCAAGCTCTTGGGTCTACTGTGTGCCGCCGCTGTTGGGGGTTAGCTTCAGCTGCAGGCTTAGAGCGACGCTCAACATACCAATGCCCTTGAGCTTCTGTTTGAACCAGCGTAGTCGCACAACGACGACGAGTACGTTGATGAATCCCAGATTTGTAACAATAGGCGTGATGTAAACAAAGATCTGCTGGTATGTCTTGAGAGCCTTGACATCAACACTAACGCACTGTCAGCACGGCTACCATCCCAGTACACCAACCCAGACTTACGGGTTCAAGCCAGATTCAGTCGACGCGCTGACACCAAAGTAGTACGCATCGATAGCCGAGAGATTGCCATAGGGATAGATGATGATGAGGGCCAGAATCCCGAAACTGAGAATGTATGCATCTACACCCCGTTAGCCATGCCGTTCCCGGATCAGACGGAACCGTGTGCAACTTACAATGCAGCGTAATGAAGTTGATTGGCGGCTTCCACATATTGCCTTTGTCGCTATGCGCTCAATCCGCACTGACACACTGAGGGATTATCGCTACGTGCAGCAACGCAACGAAAGCGCAAGGGCGAGGTAAGCGAAAGGAAAAATAACTCTTTCGTGTTCAAAGTCCAGAGTACAGGAAGTTACCAGTGTATTGGGAATGGAATAAGAAGGAGAAGAAGAGGAGTGCAGAATCACCCAGAAAACACGTGAGCTACAGCGCAAAACGGCCTGGGTACAAAGGCCCAGCGAAATAATTGTATGAGGGATTTATCTCGTGATCAGCGGTGTTGCTCAGCCACTGCCATCGTGGGCCTGGTTTTGCCTATTGCGGCGACGAAACCGCACGTGAAAGTAGGATGGGCTACATTTTACTTGCTTCGCCGGCGTGCGCCAAGGGGGGGATAATTCGCGCATTGTGATGATGTCGTGGTTGTGGGAAGGCGGTGCTTTGCCTACAAGCTTCTGGCTGCGGACTAGCGCGGACCCCTCCCGCTGCGTGAAAGCTTGTTATTGGTCGGTTGATTTGCGTGTATGCAGGTGCGCGATCGCTTGCACGGTGGGGGTGTTATTTCACATGGTATACTCGTGGGCTTTGCTGGTTGTGATGCAGGCGTTGTCGCGCGTAGCTCGCGATGGCTTGCGGAACCTGTGGGATGACTGCTTGGTGACGGCCTTGAGGGTGTCCACGGCAGTTCAAATGACCGCAAAAGGGCCACGACGTGCGGTGCTAGTGCATCCCATTCAGCCGTAGCCATGTTGTCCAGGGCGAGTCCTCGAACGGAAGACTTTACGTTTAGAATCCTCACCCTTTTCTGATTATTCGCGCAACACGAGACAGGATTTCCTGGCTACGCGCGCTTGATTAACCTCACACCGCCCACTCAGTCATGATCGTAGAGTTTGATTTCATTCCGCCGCACTCGACGAACGCACCTGTTCGCTCTCGCTTTCGTAGAATCCTCGAGACGCACTTCTGGTAACGCGATATGCGGAGCAGTCGAAGGCACAGGGATTATCACGGATTCGATACGAAGCCAACGAAGTGACGTGAAGCTCATCGCGGCAATAAAACACACCACCTGGGCAGGCACACCGAACAACATCAAGCTATCGCAGTCATATTGGATACCAAAGTGCTATGTCAACGACAAATCCAGATCAAGACCAGGCCACAGTCTGCTTCAATGGCGCATTCGATTCTCCGTTGCGCACACAAAGCGTTACGAGAAGTGTCTAGAATGACTATGCTAATACCACCAGAGCGCCAGGACGCCCCATAAACCATTGTGTCTTCTTAGAACCCCAAGACTCCAGAAAATGCCGCTAAACCCCAGAAAACTTCATCCAAATGGTAAAAACGCTGAGCACGCGCCGTGCGCCTCTAACCTAGAACGCGAGCTCCCAAAAGCGCAACAAGAACCATAACGATCGCCGCGACACCCAGCGCCTGCGACATCTCCATCTTCTTCCCCACCTTCGCCGTCATCGAGACCGTCTGCTGGAGGACAGGCGCAACAATAACAGGAACCTCCACAGCCTGCTCCACCTTCTGCTTCATCGCCTGCACCTTCTTTCCACCTTTCTTTCCGCGCCTCCTGTTCTTCTTTTTCTGCGCCCCTGGGACAGGAGCTGTCTCCACGTCGCTATCGCCCTCGTCATTATCACCGGTGTTAACGGGGGCAGAAGCGGTGTCATCGCCATCACCGGTATCGTCAGCGGCCAGCGCGTCCCACATATTCGACGACACAACAGCCTGGTCTTGTTTGCGCTTCTCGTTGCGCGGCTGGTGAGTCTTTTTGGTGGGCGCGGGAGAGGACGGGACGGTGTGAGCGTGCTGTGGTGGCGAGGATGGTGGCGATGGGGGAGCGCGAGCGGATATCTGAACCGGAGTCTTCTTCGTTGATGTCGCTGGCTGAACGGGCGAGGGGGAAGGCATATTGTAGAAAGCAGCTACGTCGGACTTGTGGGCTGCCTCTTCGGGTGAGCGTGACAGCGAGGACGAAGATGAACCCATAGCACCAAAGTCCCTGACAACAACAGGAGCCTCAGGAAGCACACCAACCTCAGGCGCCGACATAACCTCAGACGGCTCGAAACTGGCCAACGAATCGGGAGCTGGGAGATTTCCAGGCTGTTCCGTAGGAGCGGCGGCAGCATCCTTACTAGACGTTGTTGCCGCATACGTGACCTCAGCCCTTGTAGACTCGGCGGCAGCCCTGGCCTTCTCCGTGTACATCTTCAGGGGGATGATGAGGCCCTCGTTCTCGCTCTCCTCTTCTGCTTCTTCTTCCTCTTTTTCTTCATCGTCCTGCTCATCGCTCATGAGAAGGTTATACGGATTCGACTTCAACGAAGCCGGGATGGTTGGAGGGGACGAGGCAGGAGTTGCCAGGGACGGGCGAGAAGCTTGTGAGACAGGAGAGGCTTGCGAGACGGGGGATGTGGGTGTAACGGGTGACTTTGAGCCACTGGAAACGGACTCGGATGTAGTCACGGGTTTAGCTTTGGGTTTCGAGCCGGTGTTAGCGGCGAGAGGGAAAGCGAAAGGTGCGCCCCAATCCTCATCCCATTCTTTTGCCAATTGTGACAGGGGGATTATCGGGCTTCTGCTCCTCGTGCTAATCGCAGTGGTGCTGGCAGTCACAGCACGCGCACGAGCGCGTCTGTCTCCGGAGACAATCGCCACAGGCACGTGATCCGCCCTTCCCTCACCACCAACCTCAGCCTCAGGCGTCCTCTCTTCCTTCCCCAAGACTCTCTCGACCGGCACCACAACCCCCTGTTCCCCATTCATCTCCTCAGCCGCGCCATCAGTCTTCGTCGCAGCAGTCGCCCCAGGCCCCTCGCACTTCCCAGGCCACGTCCCATTCTCCCTATCCTGCGCCATCAGCCGCGCGATAATCTCCTGGTTCTCACCAGCATCAGAAACGCAACGCAGCTTCGCCATGACTATGAGCTCGAACGAGTTCTTGGTCTCGTAGTGGGCGAGGCTAGCTGCGTGGGAGAAGGGCGAAGAAGCAGCAGCAGCAGCGGGAGGAGACATTGTGGGATGGTGATGTTGTGGTAAGTATTGCGTATTGTCGTCGGGAATTCTGACCTGAAATTGGGGGAATATTCAAGTTCGGGTGTTGGGTGTTGTTTGCGGTTGAAAGTGAGAGGCGGGTTGGAGTAGTCAGGAGGGAGAAAGGGTGTACTGGGAATTTAAAGTGAGAGCGACTTCGCGACTGTGGGCGGTGGAGGGGCGCGTGCGCTGAACCCAATGTGAAAATGATCCAAGTGGAATATTGCGCTTCGTGTATAGGTGCGATAGTGAGTGGAGAAGTGGAGGCAGATTATCGGTACCAAATGTCTATGTCTACCAGTGGGCGGTCGGGCATTCGTGTAATTGGCATTCACGTCCAGTGATCTGGCCACGTACCCCACGAGCGAAAGGGTAGACCCGTGCTTTCAATGCAATGGGAACTGTACTTATCGCACACTGTTGGGTGCAATATTGTTTGATAATCTTGAACATGGAGCACAGGGGGATGTGGTGGGCGGAGGGCCACAATGAGGGCTGGTGGAGACATCCGCGCCCATGATGTTGTTTGCATTGGTATCAAAGAAATGTAGCACACGAGGGGTATCATAAAGAGACAAACGGCAAAAAGCGTAACTTGATAAAAAAACCCTTCTCGCCAAGCGGGAAAGGGGCAGGATCGTGTGTGGAGCAGAGGTGGATCAAAGCATCCAAGTAACCCGCACTTACGGCAATACTGGTATCTTCGTAATCCATTCCTCGATCTCCCAGCCATTATCTTGATATAACTTCTGGAAGTCTGACCGGAACTGTGCTGCTTTTGTGACAATCTCTGCGACGCTGCGATCGCGCAAATGGCCGCTAAGTGAATGAGATGAGTCGGGCCGGCAATACGTTGTGAATATCTTCTCGAAGACTTGAGGACCTAGAGTACATGTCAGTGCGATGACGATAAGCTGTGAACAATGACTTCCAACGTACCAGCAAGATGTCTCAAACCTTCAAGCAGAGCAGTCTCTTCCTGTTCGGTCCACTCCGGCTTGTTGCTCAACGCTGATGCTTGACGATGCGGTGGAGCTGAGCGAGGTGTGAATACTGGCAATCGCTCGAAGATGACGCCGTTGGCGTCTCTCTCTTCCAGGTCTTCGAGTCTTGTGATAGCCAGCTTGCTCCTTCTGCGCGCATCGGGCTCGCACGTCAGACGTACGATGTGCAGAGCTTGCCAACGTTTCCACCGCTGTGTTCGCGCTTCTTCAAGTTCGGCTTTCCGGTTCTCCTCCTCCTCTCTTTCTTGCATCCTGCGCTCGAAGTCTTCTTGTATCTTGCGGTGCTCCTCCCTGGCTTTGAGTCTACTAAGATGTCCGCGATACGTTTTGCTCACTTGTCGAAGATGGGCAATGAGGCCAATATCGACATCCTTAATGATTCGATCGCCCTTGGAGCGTTGAGGCACTGGAACATTCCACTCAGCGATGCGGTCTTTGAAAGACAGCACCTGGTTGATCAGGGGTGATAGAATCTTCATAGCTTCCAAAGACTCGGTTACGTCACCGCTATTGTCCTGTAGCCACGTATACAATGCTTCGAGATACAGTGCAAGAGCCCGGAAGACATGACGATAAGCATCTCGTTTGAAGGCGCGTTGGTCCTTCTTTTCGACATCGATACTGATCTGTCCGAGCGCCCCCCTTAAATCGTCGGCTTCATCGACGACAGTGTCCATGGAAAGGTCACCTTCCTGAAGGTGGGCTCTGTATGTCTTGCATGCGCGTCTGATGGTGGTAGCCAGCTTGGTTCGGCACTTTCCTGGCCGTGCCTCTAGGTTGAGGAATTCAAAGACGGTTTCTATGCCCCCAGGCCTTCCTGCAGGGCGCGTTGTATTATCAGCTTGCTCAGCGACGCTACTAGCGTCGTCTTCGTCTGAATCGTCCCCAAACACGTCGACAACAGGCGCGTGTTCAGTCTCTGGAGCATCGGCAACTTCCGCAGCTTGCTTGGGCGGCTCTGCGTGCTTTTGCAATCCTCTCACGTTAGCCGGTAACTGCTGGCTTGATTCAGTGGTATCGTTGGTGCGTTTCTTCCGAGGTTTCAATTTTCGTGCAGGACCATTAATGAGTTTTAAGAAATCCTCCTGTCTCTGCTCCCAAGTCCGTTCGGGGCCTTCTCGCGTGCTTTGAACATCGTCATGTCCGGTCGCAGTCGCCACATCCTGCTGTTGCGAGCTGCGCCGGACCGGTATGCGTACTTGTGGGTGACTCTTTCTCGATGCGCTCGACTCGCCAGTCGTCCGCCTTTGTTTCCTCGGAATCTTGGAGGGCTGTTCTTCGCTGTGATCCGACTCTGATTTCCGTTTCGACGTTCGTGGTGTACTGCTATTGTCCTTCTGCGCACCAGCAGGTTCTCCATCTAGGCTTGTCGTACCAGTGGCATCGACCACGCCAGTGTCGCGTATGGGCGGGGCGGCTTTAGATGGGGTGTGTTCCGGCGGTGCGAGCTCTGGCGGCGAGGAACGTATTTCGGGTTCTGCTACTGCCAGATCCTCCACTTGTGGCTCAGCGTCATGGTGCACCGGGAGCTCTGACGAAGGCGCAGGGACGTCACTCTGCTCCTCGACTGCCTGCACAGTGGCCTGCACCTTCTTCTTGGCTGGCTTCTTCTTCTCCTTCTTCTTCCTATTGATCTTCAACGGCTTATGATTGACCTTCAGCGGGAGCGCGTACCGACCCTTCTCAGGGCTCAGCTCAATCTCGTACGGGTCTCCTCTTATCGCTAGGTTCTGTCTGGCTCCTTCAGGAAGTATGCTGACTCGTTTGAGCTTTCCAGGACGCGCTGCATTGAGGAGGTTGGCGCCGAGGACTGCGGACGATGAGGGCGGGTTGGCGCTTGGAGAGTTGGACTCTGCGAGGAGCTGTTGGGTTGCAGCATTGTCGTCTGAGGAGGGCGAGGAAGGCTTGGGAGCTGTAGTATGAGTGTCAGCTTATATAAGCTCGGATGGAAGCTCCATATAGAATTGTGTAGCTGGTGGGCATGTGGGAGAGCTTCGCGCGTCTACCCGCCAGCTCAACGGCAACTGCGACACGACGTACCTGCCTGCTTGGGCGCATTTTTGAGCCGCGCCATAAAGTGAGCGTCAATAATACTAGTGCATCCGTGCTAATAAGGGTATCCGAGCGATGACGGCGATGTGGGGGGAGAGTGAAGTCATCCCCGCGGCCAAAAGCATCGAACGCTGTCAAGGCGCGAAAGAGTGGGTCCATCCCCAAAACACGCTATCACATGAGATCGTCCCTGCCCACTAACCCCCAAACAACCACCACACCACGCACCCCGCCATGTCATCGAATCCGTCCAAAGCACCTGTACTAGAAGTATTGAGCAGAGATGCATCGCACAGTTTCCAAGTCCCCGCGAAACGCATCCACGATGGCGACGACGTCACTTTCTTCTTGGCAAGCAGAGCCTATGCCGATATCATGACTTTCATCTTCCAGCTCAACACGGCCATGATACCACGGAAAATCAAGAGCGAAGATAAGAACAGCACAGAAACGGCGAAAGAGTGGAAGTTGCATGACCCGGATGTGCCCCATCCACCCGTTGTGCAAAGCCTCGCCAAGCTTATCTCTACCCTTCAATCGATAATGGATGAAGCGCCACCAGATCCCGGACCGCGTCGTTTCGGAAACGTAAGTTTCAGGACGTGGTACGATATCGTCAGAGAACGAGTCCCTGCACTGTTGGATCAGTATCTACCGAAAGAAGTACTATCCTTCAAATCCTCATCCGACGTCTCAGCCAAAACCGAGTTGGAAGCGTATCTTATCGGCAGTTTTGGAAGCTCTCAGCGCCTAGACTACGGTTCAGGTCATGAATTGAGCTTCCTCGCTTTTCTCGGCTGTCTCTGGAAACTTGGAGCTTTTCCCGCGTCGCAGGATGGCGAGCAAGAACGCGGCATTGTACTTGGGGTCATCGAACCGTACCTCGAATTGATTCGCCGACTCATCTTGACATACACCCTTGAACCTGCCGGGTCGCATGGTGTATGGGGATTAGATGATCATTCTTTCGTACCTTACATATTCGGTAGCGCACAACTCTCACCGGCCATCAGCACACCAGCAGACGTGGCAGCAGAAGGCTCATTGCCATCCGCTCCCCACCCAGGCGACGTGGCGAAGGCTCCCGCAGTCGCCCGCGAGCGAAACCGGAATATGTACTTCAGTGCCATCGGCTTCATCTACGACGTGAAAAAGGGTCCATTCTGGGAACACAGCAACATTCTCTACGATGTCTCCGGCGTCAAGGCAGGATGGGCCAAGATAAACAAGGTGAGTACTGCGACACCCTTGATTGCGTGCATTGACTGACCCCAACATCAGGGAATGATCAAGATGTACAACGCAGAAGTACTATCCAAGTTCCCTGTGGTTCAGCACTTCCCCTTCGGCTCGCTGTTCTCCTTCTCTGCTGATCCAAACGCCAAGGCCATTCAAGCAAGCGTCCACACAGCCAGTCAGCCAAAGTCAAGTACACCATCTAACACGGCACCAACTGCAAGACCGCAGCCCGCGTTAAGAGACCCGATGGCTGAGCCAGCGACTGGCATGCCAATCAGAAGCATGTCTGGCGGTACGGTTGGGACCGCGGCACCATGGGCTAGTGCTGGTACTACAAGGCCGGGTGGTGGCATGCCAGCTGCAACTGCTGCGCCCTGGGCTACTGCCAGAGGTGCAGATGCAGGTGTACCCAGCGGTCCGAATCAGCCTACTAAAGCGCCTTGGGCAAGTAGGACACCTGCACCGCCGCCGCCAGGAAGTGGTACTGCAGCACCCTGGGCAAAAGGGAATGCTGGAAATGCGCCAAGTGCACAAGAGGGCACGAAGGCACCTTGGGCGAATAAGAGATGAGGTGCAATGGGCAATGAAGGTATGTAGAGGAATTATACACGTCTTGTCAACGATTATACCCGGCCAAGGCTCGATTTCATCTCGTCTAGCGATACAAAGCCATCAACACACATCTACCTAGCCAACGCCGCAAGCGCACAAGGACTTAATGTTATGAACGTTCCTTGCTCCCTCCACCGTCCTTCTCCTTACCACCCCTCTCTCTACTACTCCTCTCCTTACTACCCTTCTCAGCTCCACCCTTGCCTCCGTCCCCATCCTCCTCCCCATCGCCATCTCCTTTCTCTCTACCTCCCTCATCCTCCTTCTCACCCCCATCCCCCTCCTCCCCCTCCTCCCTCTTCCTCCTATTATCCAAATCAAATTGCAGCCTCGTCCGATTCAACATGAGCTCCGCCACCCTCTCTCTCTGCACATACACAGTGACTGCAAGATCAAACAACGCCATTTCCTGCTCTTGTGTGTATTCGCCTTCGCTCACACCGAGACTCTCGTGGGGTTCGGGTATTTCATCCGCGCCGAAGAAGGAGTCGGAAGGGGAGGGAGGGGAAGGTGGTGGGTGTGGGGGGTTTGAACGGGGTCGTTTGGATGGTTTGGAGGGTGTGGGACTGCGGCTGCGGCTGCGGCGTTTCTTGTGGTGACGGTCTTGACTGGGGCGACGATCTCGACTATGACGGCGGTCTCGACTACGCCGGCGATCTTTACCACGGCCATGTGAAGAGCCGCGACTCCGCTGTTTACTTCGATTTTGCTCTGGACTTCTTTCCCGCCCTCGACTACGCTGCCGGTCTGCGCCACGACTCCGGTCTCGACTCTTCCTCCCCCCTCTACTCCTCACCCCCTCCTCTCTCCTCACCTGTCCAGAAGGCGGTGGACTCTGTTCACGCGGCCGTTGCGATACCAGTGGGGGCCGTCGCGATGGAGCGCGATCGAGCCTTGCAGAGCGTCCCCGTGGCTTTTCTACACGATGTCCTTCTCCTCTGTACCTATCATCCCTCTTCACCAACGACCTCGACCGACTCCTACTCCTCCAACTCCGACTGCGACTACGACTCCTACTTCTACTTCCATGCCCCGATCTAGGAGAAACATCACAACTCCCCCCCATCCCCATCGTCCGGTGTCTCCTCGCCATCCTCTCCAACTCTCCACTATCAAGAGCCCCCCTTCTCCTCCTCTCTTCAGACCTTGTGGTACGCCGGGCCGGCTGGTAATGGTCACAATCTTTCCCATAGCGGTCATAGCCTTTCCCCGAACCATTACCATCCCGTCTGAGCCCCCGACGTGCACCAGGACCCCTTGGCCCTTCACTCAAGGATATGGATGAGAGAAGAGATAGTTCGTCGTCGTCTTGCTGCTCGGAGTAATAGCCTGATCCAGAGCGGAACTCGCGGTCTAGTGCGTGCAGGCCAGAACTGAAGGATATGGGGTTGGCTTTTGTACCTGGTGTTGGTGTTGGTGTGGGTGTGTCGCGATGTGCTCCAGCCATTCTTTTTTGGTGGTAAGCGGAAGGGTCTTGATGGGGCTTCGAGGTGTTTTCTCTGGGTGGTGCCATGGCATCTCGCCGCTCTTTGGACGGCGTGTCTCTTGGAAGTGGAGGTGCGTCGCGCAATGACTTTGATACCATTGGTTTTCCTGTCGCCATCGATAGTGGAACGGGCTCTGCGTGACGCGTGGAGCGAGGCGGAATGCCAGTTGGATTCGCTGGCGTTGCAGTTGCGATACGCGCTTTTACTTCTTCTATCTCTTTCTTGTTGGCCATGGTGAAGTGCTTGGATAGCATTGCTGGGTCTAGTTCTCTTGGTCTGCGCTCTTTGGAACGCCTTGCTTCGTTGTTCTCATCCACCCGGGATCGTTTTATGAGAGGCTCTCCGAGTATTTCACCGCCCCCGAATGGTCTTTTTCCGGTTTTCGATGGTGGTGGCGGCTGTGCACTGGTTGGCTGTGTGTTGTTTACTGGCATATCTGGCGTAGGAGCTACACGAAGGAAACCATTGTTCTCCCGGTGCGAAAACCCTGCAACTGGTGATTGTTCGTCTGCCATGGCGAGTATACGATGGAGCTATTGATAGTCGCTGTACAGAAATGTTGAGGTGCGCAATACGATGAGTCTGCTTTTGCGATGAACGAGACGCTCGCTTACTTGCTATGTATGTTGAAGTCTTTGTTCACTATGCGTCTTTAGCAGACAATCGCTCACCTTCTTTGACCCTTTCACTCATCGACTATCATGCTAGGACAACAAAGACTCGAACGAGCTCAAAGCGTCCTAACAATCCACGCTCCAGCACAAAGCCCCTCACCCGTGATTTCGCGGAAGTATGATGGCAACATACCCGCATCTTCAATGCATTGTTAAGACAGTCTATAACCCTGGCTACTACACAGGCTTCTCATGTGTCTTGCGTTATCTACAAGTAATGCTGTAGGATGTAAACCAATACCTAGCTTTGGTATCCGGCGTTCGCAACCACACTGTAGACTCGAAATCCGCCAGACAGCGTTCGTATATATGATAGTCGAAACAACGTCGGCAACATAACTTGTGGAATATCAACGGCTAGCGCCCTCATGTATTGGCGACGGCATATATCACTACGAATTAATCTTGTAAACATCGAGCATAACCGAACAGCCCGTTGCTATCTCCTTATGTCGAGACGTGGTAACGATTACGCCTTCACAAGCACCCGTGCACGGCAAAGGACATCGGTCAAAATAGATTGGTAGCTTTCTTGCATTGATGTCGAGATGGTTGAGATGATAGAAGATCATGTCATCAGTTGCTTTGATGTTGAGTTTGATAACCATATAGACTGCGACACCCATGTCAACTGTGAGAGTACCACTGTGCCCATACGTCCTCAACCCCACGATCAGTGAAAGAATGTTTCACCCTCAAGGTTCCCCTTCATCTTGTCGTCCGCGATGGCGAGCGCAGCAAGACCCACCTCGGCATCATCCGTGTTAGCCGCTCCAGCCTCGGCAGCATCGAACCCCGGTAACGGCGGGTACTCGTCCGGGTCACGGTCGGGGTTGCGCAGGGCGTTATCGTAGATCTGATTGGCCAAAGTAGGTGTGTACTCATCGCGCCAGAGGTTGAGCTCTTCCCATGTCTTGCTCTTGGTAGCATCGTTGTACCCTAACAGCTCTGCAGAGGAACACTGACCAGCGGGTACGACACAGAACCCACCGTATTTGTAGTCCGCATGTGTGCAAACTGTCATAGCCTGCTCAGCTAGTAGCACCTCGTACTCGGCCCCTAGGAAACAGATGGGATATGTGTGAAAATGGTATGTTGCTGCCGGGAACAGGACCCGAAACGCTGATTCGACAAGAAGGGCGAGCCAAGTCGTGGACTGGTGCTTGTCGTACTGCCGCTTGCGATGTGAAATGCTCCTGGAGTAGCCACAGTGAACTCGAGGTTGTTTCATGGGTGTGTCCTTTTGGTCCTCGGGCGTCTTCAAATCGGCTAGAGTCATGATGGCGTGACACCACGTTGCCACCTTCAGAGCACGTTTCTGTGAGCACGCTAGGTAGTAGTGGCGACCCTCTTTGAGCCCTGCCAGAGTCGATGGCTGTTGAAAAGGATAGAGGGCCGTGTCGATGCGGAGGGCCATGTCCAGGTCCAGACCATAAGCGTAGTTGAACAGGACTTGAGCGACTTGGCAAAACTGTCTTGGCGTGGGCGATTCTCCACGGTCATCGACAAAGGGGCGAACATAGATCGCCGGTGCGAACTTCTCCAAAGTACGCATCTGCCACGGACCATCCTGACGGAAGTGCTTGACGATATCTGGATCTGTCTCGCTGAGATCGCGACGGGCCAGCGAACCGTCCAGGGTGTACCGTAGGACACGCAAAGGAACGCTGGCGAAGAGGTAGCGTAGTCTCGCTCTCCATTCGTAGTATTCGAGACGGTGCATGTTGCCTCCCTGCACCTTCTCCTGCTCGTATATGGAATCGATCAGAACGGCGTAGCCCTTTTCGACGAGTACCTGGGCAAAGGGGAGGTGATAGACCTTGCTGGAGTAACAGGCTATGTCAATCTGCTGGCGTGGAAGTGGTAGCACCAAACCGACCGTCTTCGAGCTGATACTGTCGTTCGAGGTGATTTGAAGACGCGATAGAGCCTGGATTGCGCATTCGGTCTCGTATCCAGTGACCTGCTCATCGTCGGAGTCCGGGATGCTGTGCCGGGTCCTTTTCCCCAGAACATTCTGCCTGTAAGATGTCAGGGGGTATCGAGACTAGCCATGGGTTTGTACTCACGATACAGGTCGAGTGTCCTGATAAGAGGCCGGTGAAGATTCGGTGTCATCCACGTCCGAGACTGGAGTGTGCCTGACTTTGACACGCTTGTTGGCCTTGCCCTTCGTCTTCTTCTTAGTCGCCATTGTGTGGCTGTGAGGTTGTGAAGGATTTGATGAATGTGAGTGGATTTGAAACAGGTCGAGGTGGTGAATGTGAAAGATGTGAAAGAGGTGAGGATGTGAAAATCGCGGAGGTGGTAAGAAGCAGAACCAGAACCAGGCTACAGACGAAGACAGCCCCGGGGCCACAGACTAGCGCTACGACCGCTCTGACCATGCGTTGACGTAGTATCGGACGATTTCAAAGCGTTGAGGCAGACCATTGGCCGTGTTGGGTTAGCAACTGGACAAGAGGCAGGTGCGAGCGATCATTGTGGCAGCGAGCAGCCTCGCTCACCCCGAGAAGCTGCTGGAACTGGAAGTGACGTCTGGTGCCAGGTACGTGATGCCTCTCCAGCTTTCTGTAGGGGGTTATTGATGCAGGTGTTGTGATGGGAGCGCCTCGTTATAAGGAGAACACTCTCGGTTCTAGATAGCCTGGATGAATGATCAGGAGAGCTGACAGCAGGGCTAAATCCCGTGTCAGCGAAAGGTTCCAAGGTTCGCGGCTTCCTGATGGAGTGTTCTTACCTAGGAGAGCACACGTCACCGCTGCCCACATTCCACAAGCGCTACCAAAGTGACGCT